TTTTTGGCTACGATAAGAATTCTCTATAGAAGGCCTAAGTTTTCATTAGCGTGCTTTCGCCTACACGAACACTTTGCACAACCTAGCAGTTTTTACATTTCAATCGTCTCCTCGTATCGATCATTCATAGAGGCATTCGAACTTTTTGAGTGAAGGTTCGCCCGCTACTTGAGGATATGCTTTTCTTTATAAACATTGTTCAATGCTAGTTAGGTCGATTCCGCGTTGATCTCGGGCAGATGTTCTAGGATGGTTCCACATGAAATGGAGAGAGTGAGCTTATTCCAGATAAGTTTAGTACCAATATTCCGATGCTGCAGTGATGGGAGACCGGATGGGCTCGGTGCGGGGTCGAGCCACAGCATTCCTTGTAATGAATTGTAATGAACGGCGTAGCTGACCTACACTAACCAGCCTTACAATCTCTGCGAATATTACTTTTATACGTGGCACTTTTCTAGGATTTGCAACGTGGAATTTCTTAAGTAGCAAACATTACATATGACGCACATTCATTATAAACGGCAACCTTTACAGTTTACATGTTTTCATATAAATTACATTGAGGCTGTAATCGTAGGCACCCCGTCTTCTGGAATCACGAAGATTCTGGGTCTTCAACCCATCTATTGAAATTTTCTTGACGGCAATCTGCTTTACGTGCCAAAAGATCTGCAAATACGTTTAGGTTACTAAATCGAAAAGCAGGCGTGTGTAATTACGCCCTGGTGAAACTAGTGGTTTACTCTAAATTCTCTGTATTCGAACAGCTAACAGTCACGAGGAGTTGCATAATCTGACCACATCAGATGCACTATCATCAACTGCTCATTGTCTCGAGGGGAAATTGACGGATGTTCCGCCCATCAGTCACTGATTGAATTCAACAATAGATTCTTCAGAAACAATAAGCGCATAGCTTTACTAAAACATAAAGAACAACATATTGCAATAAAGTCTAAAAAATAGAACTCTTTTTATCGAGCTCACACCGCGTATTTTCGTTGTCGACGCTTTTAATTGGAATTCCAAAACGACTGAACAAGCGAGATATCCTCCGCCAGGATATTGCGGCACTCCTCAATGTATAGGTAATATTTGCTCCGCGCTTGCTTACCACCGCGTTTGCTTTTAAGACCTTGAATTTGTGAATAGGTTTTTCAACTTCTTGGCTGCACTAACCCGACGCATAGGTAGGGCACTGCGAGGCGTTGTATATACCAGATATGCATACAATCTCCAATGAGGATGTTCGATGTAATCGAATGCATGGCGCATCCGTCAGCGATTGATCAACGCCGAGAGCGCTATCCTTTATTCTTTTTGCAGTTGGTGAACCACAAGAAGAAGTACCATTTGACCAGACGTAACCTAGATCCATACTTCAGGCCGATTCTTTGACCTGACCCAGGCACATTTCTAGCCGATGTAGTACTCTGTGCAACAATCTTCACAAAATATTTACAAAGAACAAAAAACAAAAACGTGCGCTATTAAAAAAGACTGCTTATTACGCGAATTAGAGACCATATATCAAGTTTTACCTACTGAGGTTGTGGAAGTGTTCGACTGAGTAGGTTGTCTGCAATTTCACCTCTCCAGGAACTGAAGAAGAAGCTGTGGAAAGGTCAGCAATTACGAATAATGTGATAAGAACCTTGTGTCGCTTTATCAAGAAAGCAGTGAACTATTAATTCAAAGAGTGTTCTGGCGAGTGGTACAGAGTTGAGTGAGCAAATTTGGAAATGTGTTGAACGAAAGAGCAACACTCATTTGGTCAGATGTTTACCTCGATGTAGCACCTTACACCTAGTAAGTTTCAATTTAAAGAAACTTTCATATTGTCAAAAAAGGATTTTTGAAATATAAAAATGAGAGTCTACATACTTACTCAACTACCTACTTATCCATTATTTTCTAGGAGACGGAACAGTTACAGCTTCCAGAAAGGTAATGGAGATAATCATTCCCGATTATTACTCAGATCTCTTCATTGGCTACGTTCTCTTGTCCTCATATGAAATAAAGAAGGATATGTCGTAGCAAAGCTTCCCTTTTCAGAAATCCAACGGGCTATTTCGTCGGTGAAAAATCGAACAGCATGATGTCCGGAAAGGATTAGATCTGAACTCCTGAAGAACCTGCCAGCTCACCTAAGCACAATGTCTCGGTTCTTCACACATTGCTTGCCCAAGTGCAAAGTCCATAGTCAGTCGAAGACCAGCAGGACCGTGCTTCTATTCAAAAATGGGGACCTCCACTTTATCGGCAACTATCGTCCAATCTGCTTATTGTATGTCGTCTAGAAACTTATCGTTCGACTTATCCTAAACGAGATGGACAGAACGCTAAACGAAGAACAGCCATGTGAGCAAGCAGAGTTTCCAAAAGGATTCAGTACGATGGACCATATCCTATAGAGAATTCCTCAATCACATAGAGAATTCTCTATCCCTATAACTAATACAGTCTACGGATCGATGGGGATCGCGTGGCTGCAACGCCGCGCGCATCCTCTGCGTCCATATCCCGTTTGGCATAGCTAGTACAGTTCAAGTATCGAGGGGTATCGCGTGGCTGCAACGCCGCGCGCATCCTCTGCGTCCATATCCCGTTCTGGCTTAGCTAATACAGTTCTATTATCGAGGGGGATCGCGTGGCTGCAACGCCGCGCGCATCCTCTGCGTCCATATCCCGTTCCGGCCATGGGACACACCCAGTAGTCCCGCCATTCGACCCAACGACGCCGTCGAGACCGTCCTTGCCAGCCCATCGTTAATTCCACTCCGTTAATTTCACTTTGTAGATTCGTTTGCTTAGGTTATAACGATAGTATATGTAGCCCTTAGCCCGTGAATCGCTGACACATTAGTGTTATCGTCGTCTTTCGTGCAATTATGTTATCCGTGTTAACATAAGTTAAATACATTCATTGTTCACAGGTACATCACAAACGGTTCATAGTTCTTGCGCACTCCCGCGAACGCCCCTCACGTCCTCGACCTGTGAGCCGTTACATATCCACACCATATAACAAGATTCACTGAAGTATCGCGTGAGTACATAGACCTCTGTGCCTCACTTTCATCGATTTGAAGAAGGCCTTTGACTCAATTGAGATAGACGAAGTCATTGAAACCCTTGACAGTCAGGTAGTCCCTACTCAGTATATAAAGACCCTTCGTGAGCTCTACAAAAAATTTCACGACCAAGATATCACCATTCTACAACTACATTAACATCGATATCAAAAGAGGGGTTATTCAAGGCGATACCATTTCGCCGAAATTACTTACTGCCACCGTCGATAACGTCATGTGAACACTGGAATGGGATAATATGGAAGTGAAAGCCGATGGTCGGCAATTACACCATGCTCGCTTTGCTGATGACATCGTCTTTATAATACCAAACATTAGCCAAGCGGAACGAATGCTGGCCGACTTCGATAAAGCCTGAGAAAAGATTGGTTTTCGAGTAAATCTTACAAAAACGATGTTCATGAGGAACGGATTGGTTTCGTATGCCCCATTCACACTCAACAGAACGAATATCTCCGAATGTTCCAGTTACGTCTATCTCGTTTGGAAAATCAACATAATTCCCCATAATTGGAAAGGAAAAGTGGGTAGTTTGGGTTTTTGCCAAAACGTCGAGAATGTAGTGAAGAGAATAGAAAACACCCGACTCTGTTTTCGACTCCATGATTCTTCCTGCATTAACGTATGCGTTAGAAACCTGTTTGCCACTTAAGCAGGATGGAAGTTCCCTCAACATTATTGAACGAGTAATCGAAAGAAAGATGCTTTGAGTTTTACGTGTTGCACAAGTGAGCGAAGGGATCTGAAACCCCGACCTGCGTCGGCGACCAAATATCAAAGATGCCGTTCTATACGCCAAGCTATCGGATGGACAAGAGCCGTTAGTGACTGGTTTTCTCAGGATGAGCAACCCACTAGATGAAGACTATCGACCTCATAGTCAGAGCTCTTCACGAAAGTCGTAGAAGAAAGGTATGATACTTGACGAGTCTCTAGTGCGGTACGTGCAAAAGCCACTGGGCCACAATTGCACAAGAAAAAATGGAAGATTTACAGGCACCCATTCCAGTCGCTTGACGATTAACGGGACCGCAGGTGATAGATACAGGTGTGAGTACGAGCTATGCCTATTGCAATACTGTAGATAATTCCTACGGCCGACTTTCTATTAAGCTCGTCTTTGCTCAACAAGAATATTAAGAACTGTTGATAATCACAGAAGCGTTTAAAAAAGAAGGTGAGTGAGCACGCGAAGCTAGGATGGCAATGTAACGTGTAAGGTAAACGTTTCCAAATACTAACTCATTACTACGTCTGCTGATAATTCGAATCCAGCGATCAACTTGTGTCGAATTCAGAACTGCATTTTCTAGAGATTATCGTCATCAACGAAACGAGAACAACGAAATCATTGGAAACTCTCTACATTTGAAGTAATTTAGGAGACAATCAATTCACCGAGTACTCAGCCAATTACTGAATATCAAGCTAATTCAATCCATAAATGTTCTGTTCAACGAGGTTCAAAATTGCAACTTTTCCATATTAAAATTATTTCGTATGTTGTGAGTTCTTTGTTCTGAAACAATTCAAAATTGTTCAAAAGTATTCTTATTTCGAAACGAAATGACTCACTGAGCTCGTTGAGTCGTGTCTTTCTTACCATTGTCGACCTGATTGGATATCAGCTTAATCCAGCTGGAAAGAAAACACTACACAACGATGAAGACTATTCTTCACCTTATAAAAAATAATCTCTAGCTTTTCATAGTGTCGCATATTTGTTTTCACACAACCGGACGAGAGAAATGCCACTACCCGAAACAACCTCTAATCTCTTGAGTTGTCATTTCACGCCAAGCTATTTTTCCTTGTGCACCATTCGTTTCAACTAACTAGTTATCACATATCAAAGAAAGCAGCAAACTTCTAAATTTTTGTATGCAACCACATAGCCACCTACGTTTTAACTTCAGTTGCTGTGACGGCGACGAGGTCGTAAATTTCGGCACCGTCTTTCGTGTCGAGTATAAGAAAGAGGGCGCACTTATCATCCGCATTCTCCTTGACCATTACAGAAGTCAACGGCATAATCGGAAACCGTTTCGTCTTTTTTGAAGTTTCCAAAGCCTATGAAAAATATAGCGGATCCTTTTCTACACTACTCTTAATATACTACGACAAATCGTCAATATTTACAGTAATACCTTTAACTGCAACTTGTCATTGCCGTGTTTTGTAAGGAAAACCAGCATGTTTTCCAGCAGCACAACATGTAGTTTAATCGCTTTTTTACGACTAAACCGACACGTCAGTGGCCCGTGGTGCACAAGCCGATATCTAGAGAGGATTTCACTAGACCACCTTGCTTTAACTGACTAGCTGACTAACTAACACATTTCGTTAAGCTGCTCAACTCTCTTCAAAGAATGTGTCGTTTTCGTGTTCAGCATTCGCGAGATTGTTAAACAGCATACATTTACTTCCATAGAAAAACACAATTCACTGCAACACTAGCTGACGTTTCGGCAGTATCGCCTTCTTCAGAGCCGCTTTTTACGTGACTTCCAATGAGGAAGTATAGAACAACACGTAAAAAGCGGCTCTGAAGAAGGCTATACTGCCGAAACGTCAGCTAGTGTTGCAGTGTATTGTGTTTTTCTATGGAAGTAAATGTATGCTGTTTAAAAACCTCGCAATTGCTGACCAAGAAAACGACGCATTCATATTCCAATGCTGAGGTTAATAGAAAGTCCATCCTGGGATCTCTTCAAAGAGTATATTTGTAGTTGCTCTTGTAAGCGTGGAACAAAAATAGCATCACAAATAGTCCACCTTGTCAAGTCCAGGTGGGCGTAGTCATGGCCTCCATACTCCTTATCGAACGGGGTTGTGTCCAACCGCCGTTGCAGCTCTTCAAGGCGGCGAACATTTTCGGCGTTTTCCTTTGCCGTATTCACCCCTCTCAGAATGCGTTTCGTCGACTCCACTGTACGGAGAAGACGATCATATTCCTGGAACCACATCAATTTTGCTTATCTAGGCGCTATCGTATCTTTGCATTGAGTGCCTTTCATCTCCAAATTGGGCTAATTTCTAACGAATAACGAGACTATGCGATTATATTTCACAATATTATCCACAACATATTCCTGTAAAAATCATATTCACGTTAGAGACCAGGAAAACTTTTTTTTATTTTACTTCTATCAAGGAAACCTGCAAACTAAAACTTCATGCGATCGGATTCATTTTGGTAACTTTCTTCCTTGAAAATAGGAAAAAAGCTTTTTCGTAACAGCAATGATAAATATACTAGTAAAAATGCTACACAAACCTCGCTCTCCACGTCCGTATATTTCGCGATCGCTTCCAACAGAAGCGGATACTTTACCAGCCGTTGCATCTCAACTGGAAGATGGTCCTTCAGTTGCAATCTCCGACACAAGGGGTTTTCTCCGGCTTCGACGAGGAATCGCACCAACGATTCATCTTTATCCGTTTCGCATCTTGAATTATTCAATCTTTGATAGTTGATCTTTTTTCAATTCGTTTTTCACCTCTTATTAGGCTGTTTAGAAAACAAATAACGAAAGTTCAACTTCATCATGATCGTCCAAATTAAGAACTTGAATCCTTGAATCCTAGGAAAGTCGCAGGGTGTCAATCTTGGGTGCTTACAAGCCGGAGACTATCTCAGGTGACACTTTGGGAGTCCCATCGTCATGAATAACCCGAAAATTTCAAAAAACTAAAACTTGCCCGAACAACAAGCTGCTAGTTAAACGAAACCTATTCTGGGAACCGCACTAATTTCGGTTATGCAGCACCCATTTGCCTGTAATCTGCTCTTTTCTAATCTTGGTATGCCAGTAGGAGGTCATTAGAGAATAGAGTATTCTTTAACCATTGACAATGATATCATCAACGCCCTGGAAGAATGAAATAATATACAGCTTTCGCAACCAACTACTTTTAACCCTTCACAATAAGGTCGTGAACGTGAATTCGAACCGCAATACCTAAGAGCTACACAAAACAATTCCTGCTGAAATTATTGTTTAACTATTCCGGTGTTTTTTTCCGGTTTTCTTCTATATTCCTATAACTATATTCCGGTGTTTTCGTGACAATTGCAACAGTAAAACGCTAAAATCCTCGCCGTTAATCATTTCCAGAGACATGCGTCATGCACTGGACTTGAACAAGCACCGCTAGAGGTGATTGAATGAACATCTGGTCTATACCATTACTTGATGTGGTCTACTGATGTATCAAAACAGTGCCACCATTCTCGATACAGCACTGTGGCACCAATTTGCTAAGCCCGGAGAGATGGAAGGGTTGGTGAGCCTCTGTGCGGAATCGAATCAGTGAGCACGTGTGTCATCTCTAACCACAGCGCCTCAAGTGTTAACAGCACCTTTAAATAATGACAAAAGATAAAGAAACAGCGTTTAGCGTTGATTAATCTTTTAAGCGCACTCTATCTTTTCGACAGCATTTGGAACAACCATACTTTTGGTTGAGTGCTTATCTGGTCTGTACAAACTTGCTGTTGTATCAGATCAGCGTTTTTATTTGCCCGGTAATGCCCGGTACTTGGGTACTTTGATGGCCCGTCCTTACTGGTTGTGCGAACCAGCATTATCTCCATTTTTTCACAGTTTTGCTCGTTTAGCTATTGTGGTTTCCTGAAGTTTCAAAGTCAGCCAGACCAAAGTCTGCCCCAGGCCTTCATCAGCACAGGCAGTCGTCCGCCGTCCTTGTGGATCAGAGGTAGACCTGTACCAACCTCGCGTCAGCTTAAGAAGATCAGTTTATAAGATCACATAAATAAATGGATCAGAGGAAGATTTGCCACCGCACGACTAGATTGATACTAGGATGGTGATGGATCCCGGTATTGGTTTATTCTTTGCTGGGCATCCTCATGGAAACGCCGGATTCTTTCTCAGCTCCGGAGATGCTGCCGAGGAGATGAGTCGCCCAGCTGCACATCACAGTCCAACACCCAAGAACACCTCCCAGCCACGATGACGTGGTAAACCGTTGAAACGTTCTTCTAGATTCTGGTATATGGACTAATTATCTTCAAAGAATAGCAGCAGTAATATTGTAACTTGTGACTTAGGTACGTAATGAGACAAAACGAACCTTGTTCGTAGGACATCGAGCGCATGCTCTTGGTTTTCGCAAAATATTGTGGTGACTTGCAGGAACTTTTCACCAGCTTCACCGTCAAACATATTTTCCAAGAGCTCACCTACATTTCCATAAAGACCGCTGACACTAGGATCTCTTCTCCACTGGAATCATCTTATTATTGACGAACTAGACCTCAATTATAACCTTTTTATTTACAGGCGAGACAGGCGAAACGAAGGACCCGCAAGGTGTGGTGGTGAACGCGTTACTCTCCGGAAAGGACAATAGCGCGTTCATTCCCCACCGCAGACACCTGCGGTCCGGAGTTTTGCAATTATCTCAGCATTATAGAAGTTAGACCTCAATTTTTACCACTTATCACGGTTCGCTATGATATTTCTAAAAGGGGAAATTCTTCTATTTTCATGAAAGTCACATAAATTAACCATATGACAAACATTTCTCTCGCAATTTTGTAGCGATGCCACACCTCACAGAGGAGAGCCTGCTTGCACATTTGTTCGCCTCTATCACGAAAATACAGTAAATCGTTAGCTTAGTCGAAACACTAATAGTTTTAAAAAGTGTTGTAGCCACTAAAACATTCAAGCGAGTATGAAAAATACGTACTTTCTCAACAGCTTGTCGCATTTGGCGTGACATTCCCATGTGGATCTCTATAACTTCATCAAGGTTCGCGAAGAGCAGTTCCCTTACATCCGAGGACGCCACGTTATTCCACGACATGGGCTTATGGAATACTCCAGACAGCACTTTCAAATTTCGCACATGTGTGCGCTCTGTGTGGAATAGTTCTGAAAAAAGCCATAAAAAGTGTCTGATTGTCATTTCATCGTTAAAAGTATACATAAAATCAAACCCATGGTTGCGACTGCTACAGTAAGCCACGATAGGTGTGTATCACTGCTATCAGTATGCTACAGCATGCGTGTATCAAAAATAATCATCGTTTTACTTTGTATGCTCACTTTCGGTTTTTCGAGCTATGTATATGTATAGAGGCAATATGGAAATTACCTTTAATGGCTTCTTGCCTATTTCTTTCTTTCGGTTCCAGGTGCTGCACCACATCCAATCCGAGCAGCTGATCCAACCGAGGTGCTTCGGTTTCCATTTCGAGATCGCTGTCGTTTACCGAAGCACCGATACCTTTCATTTCTAACACTACCATCTTTGCCTTAAGTTCATTTTTCTCTTGTCAAAAGTAATTATTTTAATTTCGTAAGTGTCATGTTAGTATTGAAGTACTATTGCTAACGCATTATTATTATTGTAAGTTTCATTATAGTATTATTATTACATTTTTATCAAGCATTATTTAAGTCTCATTATTTCTATGTTTGGTTATGGAGGTGTTTGGCCAATTAGACACCAGTCAACTTTACTTTTGCAGACTTTCCAGAGCGCGATATTCGCCTCCAAACTTGCTTCATCGTGATGAAGAATAAAGTAACACCTCGTGTTTGATCCACGAGAATATAAGGCATTATTATCGTTCATTTCAGAAAATTGTTGCTTGTAAAATCGTCCCAGAGCGGTCATTTATTCTCCATTCCCATTTTCGTTTCTGATTTAGATTTTAACATCGTCTCCGAATCAACGAAAACCGAACGAACGAATCGTTGCCGAAATGATAATTCTTTTAGATCCACATAGTGGTAAAGACCTGAAAACGCCCTTGCAAGGTTATGTTGTGACTCCAGAGAAGATCAAATTGTTGCGCCAGCAATAGCCCGGCTTCGGGACGCCTCATACTATGTGCTTCCGTTTATGACGTCAGGTCAAAGAAAAGGAAACTTTTCTTTAACGCTACTGACTTGTTAAGAAGGACCGGGCTGAAGATTATTTGCTGCTAGTCGATAAATTTAAAAATTACTGCATTCGCCCTAGTTCCTCAAGAGTAAAGATCAGACCATATCTCCATTATCAATAAAGAGTTGATGTAGGACAGAAGCAAAACTAATCGTGGTCCTACTGCAACACGCTTAACACTATTAGTAATGAATACCAGTTGCAAAAACTCTTGCAGGAAAAACCCCATCGCCACAAACAGAAGAAGCTATTAGAAGCAACACAAAAAAACCAGTTTGTAAAATGGAATTCTACGACTGCGATGTTTCGCTATCTCCTTAATTAACCAATATGGAGTTATCGATGTAATCATCTGTAATATGGAATTTATAGTGGAAAATTCCTTTGACAATCTTTTTCATTAAGAGGCAATGCTACTCTCTGACCCGAAAATTGTAGGTGGAGAAAACCGAATGAAAAGTCACTCAGCATTATTGAACGCGCAGTCGAAAGACGATGCTAGGAGTAACCCGTGTCACGCAAGCAAGGGAGGGGATCCGAAGCTCCGATCTTTGTCAACCATCAAAAATCAAAGATTTCGCTCTGTACGCCAAACAGTCGATGGTAAGGTGGGCTGGACACGTTATGTGTATGAATGGCAACCGATGGACAAGAGCCGTTAGTGATTGGTTAATCGGGATATTAAACGCACTGCAGGAAGACCGCACGGTCAGAATTTTTCACGAAAAGCCTAGAACAATGCAGTATGATCCTCATCGAGCCTCTAGAGCGAGCAGAACCCACTGGGTTAGTGTTGCATGCGACAGGGAAAAATAGAAGATTTTCTGGCGCCTACTCAAGTCACTCGACACGACAGGTGATACAGCTGATAGCCGTTTAGAGTGGTTTGAAAGTACGGAGGTATTACCCGTAAACGTTGGTTTTGTTATTATGGAGATTCGTAGAGTTGGACTTCAGGGCTCATTTCCATCGAAGATTTAAGAATGAAGTTGCTCGATGGATGCATAACGTCAGGTTCGGAAGCATGGTTCAGCAGAGTGTTGAATATTGGACTCATTTTTCCAACGAACTGCGATATGATGATAGGGTGCTTAGCCTATCACCACAGCGTGCACTTCCAACTTGGGTAATTAAGCCATTACATATATAAACGATATAACCAATGACATGATTTGGTAGAAAAAAATGTAGAGAATAAGAAACACTGATGATAAGAGGGTAGCTTCTGTAACCAGCAGGCGCGCATAAGACACGGGCATATAACGGGGAAAAATATGAAACAGCTTTTCATCCTCACACAGCAATATACAACTTTAGCGAGCAAGATTCTCGAAACAAGCACAACGATGTTGAGACATTTGCAAAACTCCGAATCGCCGGTGTCTGCGGTGAGGACCGAACACGCTACTACCCCTTGCGGGGACAAATGTGTTCACCACTACACCATGCGATTTTTTCGTTTAGCTTTTCTCTCGGCTGTGTTATTGACCTATAGGTGCTATCAGCAATCACCCTTCAACGGAATTGATCTGGACGGCACAAATCGTTATTGAACCCAGTTTAGCTGAAGCTGTAATATAAATCACAACGTCGTCACTTGTTACTGTATCACCTCAACAAGGAACCGCACGATGCGGTGGTGAACGCTTTACCTTCCAAAAAGAGTAGTAACTAACATGTTCCGTCCCTGCCGCAAACACCAGCGGTCCGGAGTTTTGTAAATATTTCGCCATTTTTGTAATTGTGTTCATATAATGCTATGCCATTGAAGCAAAATGGTATGCAGTGAATAAAAAATTGGCGATATCACGAAGTAGTTGAAAACGTTTACATGGATAAGGTACAGCCACAATGATACTAAAATGAGCATTACTCAGAGGATGATCTCAACTTCGAACTCGCAATTATCCTTTCCGAAGACTCACCTTTTATGCACTGCCGAGAGCCTTCCTTTTCCATTATCCGAGTTCTCCTTCGAGTCTTTGGAATTTTCAGTTTTGCTCATCTCAGCATCATTTTAGTTGTATTTCACATAACACGCTGCTATGAAAAAACAGTAGGCAGTTGATAAAAGTTAAGCATTGTCATTTCGACTGTAACTTCGGCCTAACTGGATCCATTGTCAATATGTGCTCTCCAGATTATTCCCGNAAAGTTAAGCATTGTCATTTCGACTGTAACTTCGGCCTAACTGGATCCATTGTCAATATGTGCTCTCCAGATTATTCCCGTTGAGGGAGTTTATGACGTCAGGTAGTGACAGGACCAGTGAAAGGCCACAAGATATGCCCGACTCCGAAAATAATATAGCTTCCCGAGGTGGATATCTAATTGTGGTTCCTTAAACTTCCGAGGACAGCCTGGTCGAAGTCTACTCCAGGTCATCATCATCACAGGCAGTCGCTGCTCTTGTGGATAAGAGGGCGGTTTGCCACCATGTAACTAGTTTGACCACTAGGACGGAGTTCGATTCCTAATGAAAAAACAGGTCTCTTTTTCAGTTTGGGAAACCCTGCTGGAGAGATGAATCTCTCCGCTGTTCATTGCAGCCTGACACTCAGGATCACCTACAAGCCGAGGTGAGGCAGTGAACCGTTGGGAGCCATAACATTTAAGATATAGTTAAGTATAAAAAGGATCTTTGTTATTGGATGGCTTGCTTAACCAAAATTTAACCGTTTTCTTAACCTTTTCAGTAGGACAGAAAACTGCTTTGTACTGTTCTTCGTGAATTGATGTCTTCAATTTCGTTTTATTAGTTTTAAGTGTATATTTTGTGTTAAGCTTGAAAAAAAGCACAATTCTTGAGCAGTGCAATGTTTATCCATTTCTTCTTTCGACAATACCCCTTATAGGCTAACGACTTGGATAAGATACGTTACGAGAATCACTTACTGAGGAAAAGCAGTAGCGATCTAGAGGCACTACTGAAGCGCTGCCGCGATCCAGCAGAAAAAAGAAGGCCAGGAGTGACAACGTCCGGTATTGCCACGAGATCTCGGGCACAAAGGCGAACAAAGTGGTCTCATTTTGTTAAACTCCATAGCCTTTCTTTGCATACGTTGTCAATACGCTTATCTATTTCACTTCTAGATTTACATGCCATGAATACGGGTAGCACTTTCAGTTTATTCTCCTGGTGTCACACCGTTTTTTTTTGTACATTTTCTGAATTCGTTTTGCTAAACAGTTACAATGTATGACATCCCTTTCCTACGTATTTTTCGGATGGAAGTATTGGGGATATAAGTAATACCAAATATTAGTAATGTGGATTTTAAAGATATGTAAATTTTATTTTATCACTTAGTACACTTGTGCACTATAGAAATTATAAATGCATGGAATAAACATTTCGCTTATTACATCAGTGATCTGCACTTGGTTGACATTTGCAACCATAAGAAGAACGGAGAGAATTGTCGATCAGTGGGTGAATAGCTATTACAAGGGGTTGTCAAGCAGTGGTCGTTGACGTAACGATTAGGCGATGGTTGTCGAGATTGTGGAGCCTTACTTTTTTTTTTTTATAACAACAGGGACTTGTTGGGCTTGGGTATTGATCCACACCTCTTGAACCGTGAGTGTCTCATTCAGATAGTTAGTTCTTCGAATGAACTGCGACATCAGATCCTCAACAGAGAACTTAGATGCAAGTGAGCGTGCATTGTAGGTAGAGATCGTTACCTTAGTTGTTTGCTATTTTAGAAGCCTAGACTAGCCCTGTGATCTTAGCAGCCTCTCCATACTACTCCTATTCAGTGCTTCCTGACGAGAACACCGAAGCAGCCTACCCCTCTACCGTCCCATATTCCGAGCAACACTTCTTCTCCGGTATCAGAGACACCATTAAATGAGTCGCGTGTTCTCGTCTTTGCCAGTCCAATGACGTCGTTTCCTTCTTGACTTCCTGATTAAGTCCTTTGCTGACGATTTAGGTGAAAGTGATCGTGCATCGTAAGTAGAGATCGTCACCATTGTCCTTTGCGATTTAGGCAACTTAGAATGGCCTTGAGATTTTAGCAGGCTCTCCGTACTCGTCCTACTCAACACTGCCGAGTAGGGGGTTTTTTCGCGGTCAGGCAAACAGAGCTCACTTGGCAATTACTTTACTTTTCTCTCAGAAAGTTTTTGACTGTAACGGTGTTACCAGCATGCACCCTTCAGCGGGAATAATCTGGAGAGCACATATTGACAATGGATCCAGTTAGGCCGAAGTTACAGTCGAAATGACAATGCTTAACTTT